CCTATCTGGTGCTGTCGCTGTTGCCAGTGCCCCAAATTTGAATTAAGAGGACCGACCAAGCATCTTCTTCCATCTCCCTGTTACAGAAATCACTGCCATATCCATACAAATTGTACAGAATGTCCAGGATAGTTTTCCAGGGACAAAATGTTGTCGCCTGTTGAACGAGGTGACCTTGCTCGGGTCCCAGGTGTACGGTTCCTAAAATGGCTGCCATATACACGTCCACTGATAGGAGACGCGGAAGGTATTAAACTGATCAGAACAATACTAAACACACCACTAATAGGGTTTCTCTCCTGTATGGCTCCTCAAATGATGCTTAAGATTAGAAGCGGCTGAAAAGCATTTCTCACACAGGTATTAAACTGATAAAAATAGTACTAAACACTCCACTCCTATCTGGTGTCACATTAGCTTGACCGCGCAGTGCCCCAAATTTGCAGTAAGAGGACGGACGAAGCCTCTTCTTCCCACATCTCCCTGTTACAAAATCAATTACCGTGTACCACGACCACTGATAGAGGCGTGGGAAGGTATTAAACTGATCAGAACAATGCAAGCTTACACCACTTATCTGGTGTCACATTAGCTTGTTGGCGCAGTGCCCCAAAAGATTTTGCAGTAAGAGGACCCGACCAAGCCTCTTCTTCCATCTCCCTGTTACAAAAATCAATGCCGTGTACACGTCCACTGATAGGAGACGCGGAAGGTATTAAACTGATAAAAATAGTACTAAACACACCACTCCTATCTGGTGTCACATTAGCTTGACCGCGCAGTGCCCCAAATTTGCAGTAAGAGGACCGACCAAGCCTCTTCTTCCATCTCTCTGTTACAAAAATCAATGCCGTGTACACGACCACTGATAGGAGACGCGGAAGGTATTAAACTGATAAGAACAATACTAAACACACCACTCCTATCTGGTGGCACATTAGCTTGACAGCGCAGTGCCCCAAATTTGCAGTAAGAGGACCGACCAAGCCTCTTCTTCCATCTCCCTGTTACAAAAATCACTGCCATATCCATACAAATTTGTACAGAATGTCAGGATAGTTTCAGGGACAAATGTTGTAAGCCTGTTGAGCGAGGTGACCTTGCTGGTCCCAGGTGTGCGGTTCTACAAATGGCTGCCATATACCGCGTCCACTGATGGGAGGCGGAAGGTATTAAACTGATCAGAACAATACCCCAAACACACCACTAATAAGGTTTCTCTCCTGTAGCATGGCTCCTCAAATGATGCTTAAGATTAGAAGCGGCTGAAAGCATTTCTCACACAGGTATTAAGCCCCAGTAAAATAGTACTAAACACTCCACTCCCTATGCGGTGTCACATTAGCTTGACCCGGCGCGGGTGCCCAAATTTACGGTAAGAGGACCGACCAAGCCTCTTCTTCCATCTCCCTGTTACAAAAATCAATGCCGTGTACACGACCACTGATAGGAGACGTGGAAGGTATTAAACTGATCAGAACAATACTAAAAACACCACTCCTATCTGGTGGCACATTAGCTTGACCGCGCAGTGCCCCAAATTTGAATTAAGAGGACCGACCAAGCATCTTCTTCCATCTCCCTGTTACAGAAATCACTGCCATATCCATACAAATTGTACAGAATGTCAGGATAGTTTTCCAGGGACAAATGTTGTCGCCTGTTGAACGAGGTGACCTTGCTCGGGTCCCAGGTGTACGGTTCCTAAAATGGCTGCCATATACACGTCCACTGATAGGAGACGCGGAAGGTATTAAACTGATCAGAATAATACTAAACACACCACAAATAAGGTTTCTCTCCTGTATGGCTCCTCAAATGATGCTTAAGATTAGAAGCTGCTGAAAAGCATTTCTCACACTCCGAACAAAAATATATTTTTTTAACATTCTCTCCACTTTGAACGAAATGACGTTTGGGAAGAGATTAAAATAATTAAACACAGGCAGTAAAAATACAGTTTTTAGCCATACACTGTAACTTTAAAACTACACATCCCATCTTCATAATTACATATTTGGAATCAGCACACTTAAAACATAAACATAACCAAAAATCAACCAAATCCATCCAGGGGTTAAAAAGTTAGCTGGAGGTCCCTTTATGACCGACTGCAAGCACATTTTCCTGCCCAAAACAGTTCCATAGATTTGGGCTGTGAGGTCGGTCTATTTCAGGCTGAAAAAAAGACTAAGTCCCATCGCCGAATGGGACTTAGTCTCTGCAGCTGAAATAAGGTTGAAAAAAACGGCTGAAAAAAAGACTAAGTCCCATCGCCGAATGGGACTTAGTCTCTGCAGCTGAAATAAGGCTGAAAAAAACGGCTGAAAAAAAGACTAAGTCCCATCGCCGAATGGGACTTAGTCTCTGCAGCTGAAATAATTTCCCATTTACTGAACCAAGTGGGAAATAGCAAGGCAGGCACAAAGGGTTTGCACCAGGTCTGGGGACACAGGGGACACCGTCTTAAAGGGGCCGTGTCCCCAACAAGTCTGGGGACACGGCCTTAAAGGGGCAGTGTCCCAATCTTCCTGATGTCCCAAAAAAGGTGTTTAAAGGGCCAGCACCAGTCACATAAAGAGTCCATAAGCCCCAATATGCCCACCGACAGTCTTAAAGGGCCATACACACCAAATAAAAGTGCATACATTTTCACAATCTCCCAGGGGCCATAGTCATGCGGGAGGAGGCTGGCAAAGAGGCTTCTCCACAACCCAGGGAAACAGGGCAATTTGCCATTTAAAGGGCCCGTTACAAATAGCAGTTTGTAACAAGGTGTCAATCCATATCTGCCAAGTGACCCGATGTAGGGGGAACAGTCCCTATTCTGCTCTGTGTCAGTGTGTATCAGGGATCCTTAGGACAGGTGTCAATCCATATCTGCCAAGTGACCCTATGTAGGGGACCAGTCTCTATTCTGCTCTGTGTCCGTGTGCATCAGGGGCTCTGAGGACAGGTGTCAATCCATATGTCAAGGTGTCAACATGTCATATGTCAGGTGTCAATCCATATTGATTGTGATTTAGGAATGTTAGGTGATTTCTGCCCTTTATGGATTAAAACCAGACTCTGTATCAACTGTGTAATTTTCCATGGGAGTTTTGCCATGGATCCCCCTCCGGCATGCCACAGTCCAGGTGTTAGTCCCCTTGAAACAACTTTTCCATCCCTATTGTGGCCAGAAAGAGTCCCTGTGTGTTTTAAAATTCGCCTCCCATTGAAGTCAATGGCGTTTCGGGCGGTTCGCCGGTTCGCGAACATTTGCGGAAGTTCGCGTTCGCCGTTCGCGAACCGAAAATTTCGGGTTCGCGACATCACTACTTGTGACATTGCAGAAGCTTATCGAAACAATGCCACAGCGAATGTGTGCCGTAATCAAAGCTAAAGGTGGTCCAATTAAATATTAAATTGTGAGACCTTTTTTCTTTTGGTGGTGCTGTGTATTTCTGCATTTCTTTCTACCTTTCCCTTTCTTCTCTCATTAAGTTACCAATCACCTCCTGTGACTCTTAATGAATAATTCACTTTCAGTGTAATGTATTGCATTGAATGATAAATATATAATTAATCTTCTCCAAAAGAAAAAAAATGTAAAAAGTACTTTAACAGTGATACATAAAGATATATAGTTATATGTAGATAGTTATATCTTTCTTTTTTCCCCTCTCTCTTTTCTTCTGGTTCAGATACATTCCAAATCATAGAAAAAGTCAAGCATAGAAAAAAACAGTTCCCTCAATTTCTTCTATTTTCACCTTTTCACTTTTCTATATTTCTCTTTGTAACTTTAGGTGTATCAATTATTTATTTCTAACTTGTGGTCTTCTTAGAAAATTATAGTGTATACTAACATCCAAAATAATGTAATGAAGTTCTATTTTTAGAGCTTGTAGGATAAAAATGGTTGCTCTACTAAACAGTTATTTGGGCATGTCTTTCCAAAAGTATTTAGTTTGATGAAGACAAAGTAAAGATATACAGGAATTAATCAATTGTTGATGCTTGTATGTGCTTTTATAGGTTACCGGATCTTGCAGAGTAGATAATTTAATCCCCAGTGATCATTTCAATAGATCTCAGCCTATGGGGTACCACACGTGGAACTCATGATTCAGATGCCTCAATATGAAGTTTGGTCATTCAATGTTGTTTGCTTCAGTTTTAGGGTAATTAGTTATTTCCCAACAGATAGACGTATACCATATCCACTTCTGTAAAGATTTAATCACCAAAGCGTCTCTTCGATGGATCCCCCAGGAGAGACCAGCCACATGGATCTTCAGGTATGGGTTCCTCAATGCTGCCTTCGGTTTTAAGGTCAGCCCAGCTCATATCACCATCTCCTGCTTTCAGTAGGTCAATCGGGTCGTTTGTAGCAGTATAACATGGCTGCCTCTCTCTCTTTTGGTTGATCTACAGCTTAAGCATGTGTCTGTCTTCCCTTAGTCTTGCCACATCGCCACACCAGCAAATGTGTATTTGTGTCCGTTCAACGATTATGTCATTACGTGTCACAAAAAAAAAAATTTGGCCTCTATAAAAGATTTGTAGATGTATTTTTTATTTGGAAAGGAGACCGTTCCTCTTTGGAGATGTTTTTAACTTTTTAAAATTTCAATCTTGGGGCATCAAGTTGACGTCAGAAATTAGTACCCAAGAGGTGCATTTCTTGGACTTGAAGATCTATGTAGAGACAGGTATGATACAAACTAGAACGTTTTTCAAAACTGTAGACATAAATCGCTACATAGAAAGTGATAGTTGTCACTTTTCTCCCTGGCTGTCATATATTCCAAAG